CAGCTGGCTACGGCTCTGATAACAGGGGAAGTGCTGCAATCCATAACCGCCAATCGGAATCCATCGTTCACTAGACTGGCTCCGCTGCGTGCTCGTGGTGTATTGCTGCTCTCTGCATCGCCTTGCTAGATAACCTTGACGCCTCCCCATTGTCCTTTGTCACCTTCCAGGATGTCGTGTTCATTTGGTGAGAGTTTTAGGGTCGGCTTCTTCTCCGGAGCCGTGGCTCTGAAAGTGTTCGGTTCTTGGGACTTCAAAGTGAACCGGATCCGATGTGTGCACAGGCAGAAGGAGAACATTTACATGCAGCTGAAGGTGAGTCCACATTTGTCAATGACTTTGCTAGATGAAACATCTCCCACTCTCTGGTCCCCATGGGTAGCCTAATCTCAGCCTAACCCTAGAGCCTTGGGCGTATAGATCAGAGAAGATGGTCGGGTTGACCCACAAACACACATTCCCATCTTCAATCTTCAGACTCTGTAACTTTCCACTACGACATAGGCCTCCACCCCTCTGAGCCATACCAAAGAACACCAATAGACTTCCATAGACCTTCTCCATTTTGACTCTCTAAGACAAATATTGCCATTGTTTTGGCACCTCGCAAGGTTCCTTCCTCTAGACGATGCAGTCGTCCTGTAGAGTGATCCTTCCTCATTGTAGCGTTTTAAGGAAGGGACATGGTGAGACTCCAAAGCGTTGGTAATATTTGTCTTGGGGGATGTTGGAGAAATAAACACATATTCTTCTTTCACTTCATGGTGAGACATCTTAGAGAAGAGGCTTTGTTGGCCCTAATTCCACATGGCACCAATGGCGGAGTATATATGTATGTTCCTGCTCCTTTGTATGTTCAGTATTGTTCAGTAAAAACTATTGAACAAGAAAACTGTTGTACGGTTGGCCATATGAACTAGAATTACTGCGGCATCCATCTCCGGTTGGCCATACGAACTAGAATTACTATGGCATCCATCAACGGTTGGCCATGTGAACTAGAATTACTATGGCATCCATCTACGGTTGGCCATGTGAACTAGAATTACTATGGCATCCATCTACGGTTGGCCGTATGTTCTAGAATTACTATGGCATCCATCTACGGTTGGCCGTATGTTCTAGAATTACTATGGCATCCATCTACGGTTGGCCGTATGTTCTAGAATTACTATGGCATCCATCTACGGTTGGCCATGTGAACTAGAATTGCTATGGCATCCATCTACGGTTGGTCGTATGAACTAGAATTATTATGGCATCCATCTACGGTTGGCCATGTGAACTAGAATTACTATGGCATCCATCTACGGTTGGTCGTATGAACTAGAATTACTATGGCATCCATCTACGGTTGGCCATGTGAACTAGAATTGCTATGGCATCCATCTACGGTTGGTCGTATGAACTAGAATTATTATGGCATCCATCTACGGTTGGCCATGTGAACTAGAATTACTATGGCATCCATCTACGGTTGGTCGTATGAACTAGAATTGCTATGGCATCCATCTACGGTTGGCCGTATGAACTAGAATTACTATGGCATCCATCTACGGTTGGCCGTATGTTCTAGAATTACTATGGCATCCATCTACGGTTGGCCATGTGAACTAGAATTGCTATGGCATCCATCTACGGTTGGTCGTATGAACTAGAATTACTATGGCATCCATCTACGGTTGGCCGTATGTTCTAGAATTACTATGGCATCCATCTACGGTTGGCCATGTGAACTAGAATTACTATGGCATCCATCTACAGTTGGTCGTATGAACTAGAATTACTATGTCATCCATCTACAGTTGGCCATGTGAACTAGAATTGCTATGGCATCCATCTACGGTTGGTCGTATGAACTAGAATTACTATGGCATCCATCTACGGTTGGCCATGTGAACTAGAATTACTATGGCATC